GAAAAAGCCAATATGATAAGTGCTACTTGGACAAATCTCTCAACAACACGAATAACAAATAGATTCAAAGGCGAGATTCATACTTGTTCACGAGACTGTGTAACTAGTTTACCAACACATTTTTCTCCTAGTTGGTATACAGATGCGTGGAAAATTGTTCGCAAATGAGTGAGAATGACGTGTTAATGTGTGCACGTGTGCGTGTGTGTTTCAGTAGGTACAAGGCGGAGCAGGGAAAGTTAGAACACGTGGACATGCGAAGACAGGAAGTTAATAGGCCGATTAAATAATAATACTGACGATTATCAAGAACATAAGTTGGAATTCATTATCCAAATGGAGATGTGAAATGGGGGAAGGTGTAATTGGTGTGTGCGTGTGTGTGTGTGTGTGTGGTTTGAGTGAATGAGATAGAGAGAGGAGAATGTTAGTTACACTGATGAGATGATGAGTAAAGGATGGGGTGGTGGTGTCAGATTAACTCCAAGGTAAAGCCAATGCGACCACCATCTGCTTCTGAGCGCACAGAACTGGGTTCATTCTTCGTATGGTTACGGCTTCCGCGAAGTTTAGCTGGTGGGGTCGTTTCGGACGGTAGACAATTCGGAATGCGTCCGTTGGATTCACTCGGTGGCCAGTCTCCTTCATGTGTTTCGTGATATCTATTTGCCACCATACCCCATGGATATAGATAATGTCCAATTGTAATTCGCTTGAAGTAACTGATGATATGCGAAAGAAATGTCGCTGCAGCAGACATCTTACATAACACTACTGGCGTTTTTCAAATTCATTCGGGGAAATCATTGTTTCAACGAGAATAACATAAAATTTGAGCGTGTGAAGGAAGTCTCGAAGCAGAGGGTGACCACTCGTATGTATTGATATCCAATAAAGTTGGGTTAAGCTCATGGGAAACAGAAACGGCCGTCTTCCTGTTCCACTTCGTTGTTCCAATGACTGTCTGCTACGAAGGCATCGAGGTTTGTGATACTGAAGATTGGAGGCCTCATTTGGCGAACAGCTTGCGAGGAATACCGCGCGCGGCATTTAGATCGACTGAAGCCATCCCGACCGTGTACAAAGCACTTCATTGAACATGACCCTTTAGTTACTAATAAAATATCGTCCGCAAATTAAAATACTTAACGATCAACGCAGTGTTGGGTCGACTCTAAACCGAGCCAACGACTGCAGTTGTGTAAATGATTGTTCTACCATGTTAACTGTAAGAGTATTAATAGGAATCAAGGAAAACAGGTGTTCGTTCACCGGTTGTTTTTCTAAATACTTAGGAACTACCGGACATTAGGTGTTTTGTACCGTGGTTCCCGGACTGATTACTGCATTCTTTTCACAAAGTTAGTGGTGATTCCTAATGTCTGTATAGCCATTTAAATGATCCGTCACTATTTTTGTACTAACTGCAGTCATCTTCCCTGAAGCAAAACTCAGATTTGGCCTATGATTGGATGGAAAATATTCATTAAAAATTCCGGTGAAATGATAGAACATCTGTTTTAAAGCTGAACCATTGTTTTTGTATCTGTGTTAGCATTAAGTCGTTTTCAACCCCGTGTTGGTATGCGAATTCAACCATTGGCGAAAACCGCAAAATCTGTTGTGTTTCCAAATTGTACTGGCGTAACTACAAAGCATGCTTATTTACCTCGATTTATTGTGTTCATTTTCTTTTCTCGTTGTGGTGGGGATGGGGCTTCCCAAATCAGGCTGCTCTGGACTGCGCTTTGCAGTATGCGGGCAAACGGACGGCGTTCGGACAACCGATAGGAAAACTTCAATCCATTCAAATCAAACTGGCTGATATGGAAACGCGTCTACAAGCTGCAAGATTGTTAACCTGGCAGGCTGCATGTTTGGTGGACCGACAACTACCGTTTACGAAAGCCGCGGCAATGGCCAAGCTGTCTGCATCTGAAACAGCCACATTTGTCACCCATCAGGTATGTTTTCACGCTTGTCTATTTTGCCTACTTTTACTCCGAAACAACTACCCCTCCTACCTGAGGATAATCGAATTCATGACTGGATGAATCTGTGAAAAAAAAACACAGGGAATATGGCTATAAGTCGCCTCCCTGTAGCCCTAGCATTGCCGAGTGCTACTTTGGGGAATACAGGGTGTTGGGTATGATCTTATTTAGTGACACGCCACAATGGAGCACTCCACACTGTTTTCCATGGCCACCTGTGGCTTTTCGTTGCACAGAGATCGCATGACTCACGGAAATCGTCGCTGGTGTTTCACAATTAATTGTTCGATGGAGGAATGTCCATCTTGTCATAAAAAGCGACTGGTAGAAAACAGTTCAATTGAAATGAGGTCTGTACACATACTACAGACGATGCTTAAGCCTATCATTCTTGAGAAAAAAAGTAGACTCATAGAGAGCGATATATATATATATATATATGCGGATAAAAGATAGGTGTGACGCGAAGAATCTTTCTGGTAGGGGAATTATTGTTCACGGAAATATCACCCACCAATCTGTGGATTACTTTGGTCAAAAACGATCAGGTGTTCAAGAGGAAGCTGGATAACATTATTTTCGAGAGCCGATAATGGAGTGTTGGCGTTGGCGTGTTCTCATCAGTGCACTGACGATGTTGCCTAGCCTGTCTACGAAACCTCTGCGAACAACGCTTCCAGCTCGGAGATCACACACCAACATCAACACCCCCCCCCCCC